TGAGAGATGGTAGAGTGGGATAGATGGAGGAGGATTGGGAGCGCATCGACTGGTGCTTGGATGGGGGAAAGGCTGGACAGAACTCCATGCTCTCTTCCCCTTTCCATCCTATAGCCTGGATTTTCATGTCCATGTCCACATCCATGTCCATGTTCACATCCATATCATTGTTACAATCCAGCTGTATTTGCTGCCCATTTGTTCACTCCCTGTTCTTTGTTGCAGCCACTCAGCCAACCCCTCCTCCTCAAAGGCCACTCACAACAGGTAAGTCCACCTCACCCAACTTTGGCCCACTTTTAAAGCCAGCCCCAGCGTGACATGAATAGTGAAGAGGGGTGTCCGACAGGTTTGATCCTGGTCGGTTGCTATATGCCATATCCCTGCATGGTTGCTATACCCCTAATCCCCTGACCTCTCCAGGCTGAATGAGTGTCCCATTCCATGAATGGGCCACATGACACGCTAGCAAAAGGCATTTCTGCACATCACACGGGGTCTTGAGCACCTCTGTCCCCAGGCAGATTTTGCAGCCCCAAGTGCACATGTGCCATCTCTGTACTCAGTCTTTCCTCAGCCGCTGTCCTCTCCTATGAAATGCTGGACAGAACTTCATGCTCTTTTACTCTTTTAGTACTACATCCTGGGTTTTCATGTCCATTCCATGTCCATGTCCATGTCCATGTCAATCCATTGTTACAATCCTGCTGCATTCACTATACATTTGTTCACTTAATGTTCTTTGTTGCAGCCACCCAGCCTACCCCTCCTCCTCAACAGCCACTCACAACAGGTAAGTCCAGCTCACCCAGATTAGGCCCACTTTTAAAGCCAGCCCCAGTCTGGCACGATAAGAGAAGAGGGGACTCCAACAGGTCTGATCCTGGTCAGTGCTATGCTTCTGGTCTATTGGTTTTTACCAATATCACTGAATGGGACACGCCTTGGTTTTTTTGGCTCTTTCTGCTGAACCAAATAGCGGCAACTGTGGTGTTTTCACCCCAGAGACACTCTAATTTGGTATGATTCCAAGGTGAGCATGTTGGGGCAAGCCCAGGCATGCCTGAGCTCTGATGGCTCTGGACTGTTGTTTACTGGTAGAAGAGGGTCACTCCTCAGGCCTCCCTGTGCTGGAGAAACCTTTTAAGGCGATGGTGAAGGAAGGTGTTGGTCCTGAAGGAGGGTTTAGTCCAGAGGTTTTATTCTGGGCCACATGGCCTATGAAAGTAGCAACAGCTCCACAAGGACTCCCAACCCCGTGGTGTGCTCGTCCTTTTACCCAGGGGAGAGGGGAAGGGAATACAGGGACCACCAATCCAGGTACAGGGGGAGGAGACCTCAGGGGAAAGGGACACCTGGATGGGTCAATGGCCCCCAGTGATGGAGAGCATCTTTTGAATCTGCCCTATCACTCGATGCTCCTCTGGAATTTCTGGGTTGATAGACAGTATTCAGCAGGGGTCAGGGGTGGGGGAAAGGAGAGGTGACTGACACCTGGGGAAGGACTGGGGTAACTGAGGCATGCCCCTCTGGAAATGACCACCATAGCACCAACCTCTCCCACATCCGAGGAGTCCAGCCCAGCACTGCTGGACACCACAACCACAACAGCTTCCACAGCAATGAGCAGCACACCAGGTAACCCTGTCCTCTCTCACTCACTGCTCTCCCCTCTGCTCCTGATATCCCTTGCCAGAATTGATTGCCCTGCAGGGAGTTTCCCAGCCCTGGACCTGTCCATTTGGGCTGCCCCAAACTTAAGTGAGAATGCAAACAGAGCATGCGGAAATGCTGGAAAATAGGGCAGCTGTGCTTTGAGTCCAGTAACTTTACAGCCATTGCTGGTTGAAATAAACTCCGCAGAGGGATTGCCTCCCACTGCAACCAGGAGCATCATGCCCAGGGATAAATCTGCCTTCACCCCTTCAATTCCTGCATGGGTCATACCACAGCTGCTTCCTATACATACTCTGGGGTTTGGCACCCGATCAGAAGAAATGAGAATATGATTATTTGAAGTGGAGGCAACTTGGTGTTCTATGGAGCTCATGGCCCTCTGTGCCTCACCTGCTGTTTCTGCCTCCCTGCCTCCCTGAGATCCTCATTTTATCACTCTGTTCCTCAAGGTGAGGCCATGTCCAGGCCCCAGTTCCTTTCTCATAAACAGCATTTCTCACATGTCTCTCTTCTTCCTTCACGCCCACAGCTCCAGTGGCCACCTCAACAGCTCCACCAGGTAATGCTCTGCTGTGGCTCTTCTTTCCTTGCTAATTGTTAGCCTGTCTCCCTGTTGCACATTTCTGTAAATTTTTCTTTTGTCTCTATGACAATATTGCTGCAAGTGTGAGTGATCTTTTTCAAGCAAAATATAAAATGGATTTTCATCTTTAAATGTCGCATGTTGTAGCATTTATATTCAGAGGTTGTGCTCACCTTCCTATAAAGATTCTATTAGGATTACCTGTGACAAAAATTATGTCATTCATGCTGGCAGGAACACTAAAGCTTTTTTTTGCAGCCATATTTGTACTTATGACTTTTCACAGCAGCTTGAAATGCTTATTTCAGTCTGAGACCAGAAAATTGCAGTTTTCTAGAAAAATTGCAACTTATTTACCCTGCAAAGACCTTAGGGGAACAAAGAGAAGCAGCAGAGAAACTGATGAGACGCTGTCTGTTGAGGAAGGTGCTTCCATTTCAACTGTCATGACACCTCCCAGAATTTACCTCAACTCTAAAAAGGGGCAGAAAGCATCCAGGTGTTAGCAGCCCAGCCTGAAGAGGGTAGTCTGACACCATGGATGGAAATCCACCCCTGAGGGAATTCCAAATACAACATGAAAGCAAACCTAAAGCACAAACAAATATTAGTTTTGATTCAGGTCCTATGGACTACCACCTGCAGTCAGCAGGGGACCTGCTTTTCATAGCTGTGGATGAGACACATACAGCTCAAGTACACTTTTGCAGAGGTTACTTTAAGTAAATTCTTTCCCATTTCTTTCTGCAGCACCTTATTTTTGTGGTGGCTCAGTCTCAGATTCCTCTGGGGTGCTGGAGAGTCCCAACTATCCTGGAAATTATCCAAACAATGCTGACTGCGTGTGGGAAATACAAGTAGAGAACAATTTCCGTGTAACGCTCACATTTAGAGATATTATGTAAGTAAAACATTGATTCCCTGGGCAAATATCAGTCAAAACTTACTTGAGAAGTTTGAGATCTTATCTGAAACAACCAACCTTCCCAATTTTAAATATACTTCCAATAACGTCCACAGTTGGAAGACCAGGTCAAAATCTGAATTGATGTTGCATTTTTTACTCACTATTTTCTGCTAGAGCTGCATAAAAGCCAAATTAAATTTGTGCTGAGAGGACTTTAAAAGCTGAAAGACTTTATCACATGTTAGGCAGTGAAATCAGAGTTTCTGAAATGGATTTGACAAAGTGCTGATGTTTTTCTACCAGGATGCAAAGTGGGACGTGCCAGCAGGACTACATTGAAGTCTATGATGGACCTCTCCACTCTTCCCCTCTTCTTGGGAGATTCTGTTCTGGTTCCTTTCCCACATACGTGTCCTCTTCAAACATGATGAGTGTTCGCTTCCACAGCGATTCCAGATATTCCTTCAGAGGGTTTCAGGCTCACTACTCCTCCATTCCAGCAGGTCACAACACCAGTAAGTTCCTGGCCAGTGTTTCTCCAGACACGCCTATTTATTGCTTTTGTTTGCAGAATAAATCTCAGTGTAAATTTAAAGATTGTTGTGGAAATTGAATGCCTGAAATAGAGTGGGTTGGGGTGGAAACTGCGTGACTTCTAAATTCAGAAGAAAACTGCCTCTAATCATTACCAAATTCCTCTTCTACCAGCCATTCAGTGCTTGCCAGACTACATGCACGTCGTGGTCAACAGGGACTACCTCCAGTCTCAAGGTTACTCAGCACAGAGCGTCACCCTGAACGACAATCGCTGCAGACCGACAGTCACCTCACAGGAGGTTGTATTCAACATCCCCTACAGCGGCTGTGGGACAGTACAAGAGGTACACTCCCTGGTTTGGGCACTCAATTGCATATCTAAGCTTGGCAAGGCTTAGAACTTAGATGGAACATGACAAAAGTGCGGTTCCTGATTTTTAAATTGCATCGTTAAACAGGAGAACAACGACACAATCAACTACTCCAACACCATCAGGCTCGCATCTTCCGGGTACATAATCAGGAGGAAAAAGAACATCAACTTGCACGTCAGCTGCAAAATGCTGAGGAAGAGCTGGCAGCAGGTGGTGTACACTGCTGAGGACACCGTGGATGTGGACGAGTACCAGTTTGGAAGATACAACATGAACATCACCTTCTACGATTCCCCAGCATTCCAGCGCCAAGTGCGCGGCTCTCCCTACTACATCGACCTCAACCAAAACCTCTACCTCCAAGCCTGTCTGCACAGCTCGGACCCAAACCTGAAGGTGGTTGTGGACACGTGTGTGGCATCACCTGACCCTCGTGACTTTAACAGGCTGGCCTATTACTTAGTCAGGAACGGGTAAGAGCTTTCTTTAAAGCTGGAAGCACACCTGTCATCCAAATTTATTTTAAATAATACAGCCAATCGGAATGGGGTTAGAACTCACCATCAACAGACTGTGAAAAGTGGTCTTTGATTTTTTTTTTTTTTTTTGCAGTATGAGCTTAGGAATAAGAAATTATATTTAAACCTTACTTTCATTTCACTTACTCCATCTTTGTCCTGTGAACAAAATTTGAAGTAGTGTGAGAAAAGTAAATGACACAATGAAAACTGGCAGTCGGAATTGTCATCCTGGGAGTTAAATATTTTAGTAAAACCAGGTCAAACATTAGACTTTATAATTTTTTATGCCTTGTATAACACTGACAGTAATAACAGTCTGTTATTCCCTCTTCGTCACTTAAAGTGTCCTTCTTTTGGAAAAAGAAGAAGAGTTGCCAGCCCTCCAGCTGCTTCAAGAAGTTCTATATTTTTTAAGTCTGTACTATGCTACAAAGGTTACATCTTTATCCCACTGGTTTCCTAGTACCTGACTATGATATAATTCAGTTTTAATCCGAATTTTGCAGGAATTCATCATACTAAATTGAATCCTTTGAATTTTAACTTTGCAGGAATGCGCATGTGCACATCCGTGAAGACTAATTCCCTTCTTTTGCTCCTTTCAAGGTGTCCTAGAGATTCTTCCTATGCCACGTACTACTCCCCTTCCAGCCACTTTGCTCGGTTCAAGTTTAACGCCTTCGAGTTCATGAGCCGGCACCCGTCGGTGTTCCTGAAGTGCCAGATGCTGGTCTGCAGGCTCGGAGACTACTCCTCCCACTGCTATCGGGGCTGCAGCTCCAGGGCCAAGAGAGACACCAGCTCTGCTGAGGAAAAAGTGGATGTGGTGGTTGGGCCCCTTCAGCTCCGAGGAGGGAATGCTCCAAGTGGGAACACCAGGAAAGACGAATAAATTTCTCTCACGTTTGCTCTAGGATGACCAACGGGATTCAAGAAAAGCCACAGCTCTGTCGCCTCTCACTGAAATCTGTTTTTGCCAACTTTGCTATAAAATGGAAGAGATCCACAGCTTGCAAGGTTCTGCTTTCACTAGCGCTTTTAAAAAGTGTAACTCCCCTGCCTGTCCCAAAGGAGAGTTCCCTGTAATCCTTTTTAGTGCTATGACTCCTTGAACTGTGCTAATTAGCTCCAGTCTGACTGTGAATTTGAAGGCACTGGGGGATATGGTTTGTTGGTGGATTTATCTGTGCTAGTTTAATGGTAGGACTCGATAACCTCAAAGGTCTTTTTTAACCTAAAGAATCCCATGATTCCATGACTGGGAGCAAACTCCCAGCCCTCTTGAGAAATATTTAATTCCCTCAGTTGTTTTCTGCTCATGAAATTTACTCAGTTGAGTTGTCATCCCTGCTAATATGAAGCCTGTCCAAATAGTTGAAAGCAATGAATCTGTGAGTTTGCTTATTTCTGACTTTGATCTGGGAGCCACCCTTTAACACTGGAGCTCTTTATGCTTTGACCTTCAATAAGCTGAGATCAAACCCCAAAACCTTTCACTCATAGGGCTGGGCTCTTCCAGCAACTGGAATTGTGGCTATACAATATTCTAATTACTCTGAACATTGCTTTTAGTGCTATACTTCTCATTGAAACAATGATGGGTCTGTGCTTATTTATAAAATGCAGAGATTTCCAAGCTAAAATTAATCTGTTCTGTGAGCAGTGTAATTGATAATCAAAGGAAGGAATATTTACAAAGCAATAAATCTATTCTGTCTCTCAAATAAATGTCTATGTGCTTAAAATACAAATGTTTTACTGTGTTGAAGAGTGTGGTCTGTTTGATTAAAAATTCCAAGTGATGGTCTGAGCCCCTGCTTCTGAAACACTACACAGGGAACTTCTAAGTATCTTAATATAAAAATTATTTTAATCTATTATAAAATAAAATTATAACTATTGTATTCTATAAATTATATTAAATATGTAATTATAGTAAATATACTATTATAAATATTATAATTATAAACATTTCCATATCTTCCCCCTGCTGCTGACAATTCCCTCCCACCAGTGGTGGGTGCTGTCACCCTCCTGGCACTTGTTGTTTCTGTTCTTGATGGTTTTCCTGCAAGGCTGGCACTGAAGGAGCTGCTTTCACATGGGATAATGCCAGAGCAAAGGTCAGCATCACTTGCTGCATTAACGCAGGGCAAACCTTACACATTATGAGCCACAAAAATGCTTCACTGATGACAGTCTCATATGTGCCATTTGTGGGAAGCTGTGATATCTTTATCTACAATAAAGCTGCAATCCTGCAATCTACAATAAATTCTGCTACAATGACTTAGAACAGCTTTGTAATCCTAACACCTCTTACAGGATTAGGAAACAATTTCAACTTTCATGCCACAAGTTGTTTAGCACAATTATTTTATCATTTTTCTCCTCTTTAATTCTCCTCTCACATCATTCTAAAACTGTTTATCTAATGCCTCAAAATTTTGTGAGCTGAAGTGAAAATGCAAGTGAGGCATCAAGAAATATTTCAAGGTTTATTGAAAGGAAGGAAGATTTCATTTGATGAGAATGGATCATCTCTGGAAAGGAAATGTAAAAATTGATCTTTTTTGCAACCAGATTTGTGGTTTTACAATATTCTAATTATTTTGAGCATTGATTAATATCTTTTCCATTAAGTTTTAACTTCTCTAGATTGAAAAACTCCAAATTCAAAATATGCTGAGCTGTTAAAGATGTTTTGTTTGCAGTCTTTAAGGCTGAAACTTAAAGGCTTGTTATATCAATTCCAAAGGCTTGTTATATCAAATTTTAGCCTTCCCATTAACACACACCCTAAACCAGGCAAAAACACAAATGTCATCCAAGAGATTGAATCTCAGCCAGGAGACTTTTCAGCTCTCACCCAAATGTCAGCCAAGAGGCAAAAGATATTTCATGTCTGCTTTCCAGAAGGAAGAGTTTTGTTCCATTTTTATTACTTTTGGTTGCTGATCACAAAACTATTTAATTTTTTTTTCCCTCTGTGGTTGAATGCTTTGTGGTTGTGAGGAGTTTGGCTTCTCAGGACTTACCCAGCCTCTAAGAATGTCTTGTGCACATTTATAAATCAGACTGAAATATGCTGGAAATGCAAACAGCCAAATGCCACATAAACATTTATCACTGATGCATGAAAACATGAAAAGCAAGACCTGGGATTTCTTGCCTTTCATGTCCTAGCTAAAAAATACAAAGAATTAAAGCCAAAATGTAAGCTAAAAATTGTTTATTTGGCCTTTTGTTTTGGTTTCTTGTTTGGTTTGTAGGGGATCAGTTATGCCAATCTCCCAGTGAAGGCTGGAGCCTGCAAACACAAGGGTGTCAAGAACCAGGAGAACCTGAAGGACACTTCTTTTAAACCTCTTTTAAATGCTCTTTCTGGGGGATGCTTATTTTTCTCACCTCCTCTGCCCTCAGACAAGACACACCAACCATCACTTGGCAGCTTTTTCCTTTGAACAACTGACTTTGGTATTGGGTTATTTTATTTCCTCCTGGTGTGTCTGTCACGACTCAGCCATGTACTTGTTCACTCAGCACTCAACTCATCATCTCAGCACCAATAACAAATATTTTGCTTGCAGCACCATGAGAAAATCCCTTAGAAGTCTCAACCCAATGACTGAATCACACCCTGCACTGCTTCTGGCTGGGGTAGTTAATTTTCTTCCTAGCAGCTGGTACAGTGCCCTGCTTGGATTTAGGATGAGAATAATGTTGAGAACACACTGATGGTTCTGAGCAATTCAGTCAAGGATTTGTCAGCTCCTCATGCTGCCCTGCCAGTAAGGAGGCTGGGAGGCTCAAGATATTTTATTATTATATTTTATTTTATTTTATTTTATTTTATTTTATTTTATTTTATTTTATTTTATTTTATTTTATTTTATTTTATTTTATTTTATTTTATTTTATTTTATTTTATTTTATTTTATTTTATTTTATTTTATTTTATTTTATTTTATTTTATTTTATTTTATTATTTTAATTTTATTTTGTCTTTCCCCTATTCTTTCCCCCATCCCACTGGGAGAGGGGAAGAGCAAAGAGCTGAAGGTGCTCAGAACTCTAACAAAACTGCACATCCCTGAAAAACTCTCCTCAAGGTTTCTTTAATTGGAAGAAAGGGATCAAAAGCAATTTGATTTAAATGAATGTGTATTTTTTAGTAAATGATTGCATGAGGTCTGTGGGTTCCTGACTTCATGCTGTTCCCAGTGCTACCCAGCCACCTACTTGGCCAGAACTGGGGTTGAAGCAAAGCTCAGAAACAAAGTCCTTGTTTGCTTGTTTGCATGCTGGATTTCCTGTCCTGTTTATCCTTCTATTCTAATTTTGGAGAACGAAGCAGATCATTCATTTCTGTAGTCCTCCTTCCCAGGAAACCGCCACAAAAATATTTATAACCCAGTATAAATAAACAAGATTTTGTTTCTGCATCTCATAGCCAGCAAGCAGATTCAATTGTTCAGTCATTAATAACAAATCCTCGTGTAGATTGAGCTTTCAAAAAGCTAATTAAGGTTTGCAGGGTATGGGTAAGAAACACCATATTTATTGTTTTCATTACTTTCTCCCCATGCTTTCCCATGGAATCCCACAGACATCCATTGACACCAGGCTGAATTCAGCAGCTGAGCACAACCTTCTGCTCCCAGTTCTGCCTCGGGTGTCCTTTAATGCCCAAGTCCCACTGCTTGCACAAAATTCCAATTATATAACTAAAATAATACACTCTGGAGATCATTTCACTCCACTGATTATTTTATTTTCTTAGTTAACTCCATCAGACTCACCAAGTCACAACCAAGCTTTTTGAACAGGATTGCTCTAGAATCTCCCTGTGGTATTTTTAATTTTTTTGGCTGTTTTTATCTAGATGGCAAAACCTAAGAAGACATTAAAATTCACATGGCAGGTTGTGAATATTAGGAGATCTTCTCCCTCAGACCCAGGACACAAGAAGTCCATTTTAATGAAACTTCTCCCGGCTGAGGAAACTCGTCAGTGACCTGGCTGTGTCACTGCAGTGAGAGTTGTTTCCATTTCCTAGAATAAAACCTGGAGCACCTCTTTTGCCCTGAATCACCTGGTACTCATCCAACAAAATTTTCTCTTTTTTTTTTCTGAAATAAGTGGATTAGTCACAGGGTGTAATGTAGACATTAATTGCCCTGCTGCTGTTCTAAAGAGCCTGCCAAGTCTCAATGACTGTCACTTTTTTTTTCCCTGTATTTTTCTCACCATTTCAAAGAGGTGGATTCTCTATTTCCTCCCAGTGCTGACTAGTGATGTTGAGATGTTTTGGAAGAATTTAGTATTAATTACCACCTTCTGTTGCTAATCTTGGTTCAAGCAGGGCTTTGTTGCACAAGATACGAAAATCAAGTTGTGTTCATGTGAGGGCTCTGTGCCTCCATGCAAAGGTGTGTATTTTCCAACCTCAGCAATTCCATGACTCTGTTTGGCAAAGCCAAACCTTCTATCCCAAATGCTGGATGCTGATATCCCCAATTCAGGCTCAGAAACCCAAAGGTGTGGCCCCAGCTGCAGAACCTGCTGCTTCAGTTTCCCTTGGAGGTCCTGGGCAGCGTTGGTTTGAGAGCAGCACTACGAGCAAGCAGAGTAAACACTTGATCTGAGCTTGCCAGCCTGAGACAAGCCCTCTTTGTTCCAGAAGTTGACTGGATTTCGCTGAGGAATGCATTGTTGGGGAAGACAAGAGGGCTGCTCCCTGCCAGCACCACAAGGATTCATCCGGCCTCACAGGAGGTGCTGCCCAAAGGCACAGCTGGGGTGACAGAAATCAAGCTGGAAATTAACTGTTTGAAACACAGGCTAGAATTCGGACAGTCTTGAGAGGTTTCTGGAATTGCATTTTGGGAAAAAAATATGAAAAAAAATAGCATTTTGTTTAAGCTGGAAATTAACTGTTTGAAACACAGGCTAGAATTCAGACAGTCTTGATGGGTTCCTTTGCATTTTGGGAAAAAAATAGAAAAAAAAATAGCATTTTGTTTACTGCTGATAAGGCAATCCACTGCCCTGATAATGTTTTTTTCTCCCTGGCTCCTCTTGGGCCAGTGGCTGCTGTGGGCTGTCCAAGGGGAGGGGTTAACCACTGCTCCCACAAAAGAGAAAGTCTTCAAACAATTATTAAGGCACTCAAAAAATGAAGCTATTAGAAAGGAACTCCTGCAAAAAAAATTATTGAAACATTTTAGAAGTTAAAAGTATCTCCACTCTGTGAAATTACATTGGCTATCACTGCTCTCTCAGTTTCTTGCCTTCCACAACATTTCCTCTGTAGTATCAAACCCTGTCAAATCAAATCCTTTGTTTTTACTTTTGCTTACCTTGGATTTTAATTTTAGTGACCACATTGTTTGATTTATATAACCTTTTTACTATTAACACTTTAAAAATTCATATTTCCCCTATAGTCATAAACAAATGCATTTCAACACTGGTCTGACTTCTGTTGTAGACCTGTGTAATCATCCTGGATTAAGGTGTATTAATCTGCTTCTTATTGTTTCAACAATACCTTCAGCACCATCTGCAATACCCCATTTCCTTGCTAGATGTAGTTGTAACTGCAGTGACTCAAACTCTACCTAGAAGTGACTGATTTTTTCATTCACAGCTGGCACAGGATCTGAAGGAAAAGGTAAACTTCGTAGATTTGTATAATTGCATTTAATATAATGCTCTGATGTTTCAGAACTGAATTTGTACAGA